ATTCCATATTATTCGTTATTTTTTATTTTATTCAAATTTTTAGGTAAAATTCCAAATTTTCTCTCAAACCGTATATATTTTTTTTAGTATAGATAGTATTTATTTACCTCTTAATATGCTGCAAAACCTAATTAATCACGAATTTCTAATTTTATGTACTCTTGTCTCCGATTGTACCTCCCCAACTTTGTTAGAAATATCTAACGAAACTTTTATTAAAATATATAATCCAAATGAATGAGATAATTAGAAATGTTTAAAATGGTTCGCAATTATTACCTTTTACCTTCTTTTATTTTATTGTGTCAAATGCCTGTACTAAATCAAAAGAAAACAAGACGACACAAAGTAGCTACGTATTGTTTTTGTTTTTAAACTGTGGGGCCAGGTGTTGAAGTAAACTGTCGTTAATTGTAACAGTAAACAAAGTCAAACGAACTGAAAATTCTTGACCGTTTCTTTGCGATCATTAACATTGTTGTTGAAAAGACGATCGACCGAAACAATTACGACGCGATGGCACAATAGAAAAATTTAGACCTTGAGACCGTTGCTTGTCCGCCATCTCTTCGGGCAATAAATAAATAATGGATTGGGTCTGTTACTTAACCCAGTAGTTGGGACAATCATAATTACAAATGTCGCTTGTTGAAAGCAATAACAATCGATAATTAGCTACGTCTTAATTGGCCACGTCGACGACAGTTGTTGTAAAACGAAAGAATAGGTTTTTTATTGTATTGTTACTATTACTTATCATTATTATTATCGTGACTATGCGATATCTCCTATAATAAAGTGACAAATTGATGAGTCAAATGCAAAACTTAAATTAATTAACAAAAGGTTCGAGTCCGACGCTGGAAAAATAGTACTTCAAGATGGCTAATAGTTTATTTCATAGGAAAAGAATTCGCAATAACAAATAATTTCGTTTAAGTACTTATACCTACTCAAGTAAGTATAGTAAATATGAATGTAGATGACAGAGAATAATTACATTGTTTGCACTAACTACAGTAACTATAACTAGTAGAAATGGCTTGTTCAATAAATAAATTTCTGTTATGGAGTGTCAAGTTCATGGTAAGAATTTGAAATTTGAAAGCTTAAAATATTAATTATACATCATCATCATCATCATAAGGTCGTCAGTCCTAAGACTGGTTGGACACGCACGTCTACTTTTTCCTATCCTGAAGTGATATTCGAATTTCCCTGAAGCTAGAACATCCCATATCCTTAATTTCGCGGAGAATATTACAAATTAAATTATAATAATTAAGAAACTTGAAATAATTTTTAAAAAACGCAAATTCAGTCATTTACAATAGAAAATTGTAATTTTTGTGTTGTAATAAAAATTTAGTTTTCTCCGTGTTGTGAGCAATAACCTAATCGTCTAGTAGCTAAAGGTCTACTTCTACTTCTCCTAACTCCTGTTTCTGCTTCTAATATGTCTCTTCATGCCTTTTTCTCATTTCTAACCTTCCCTATCCTAATTATTACTGTTCAATTATTAAATTCTATACATTGTACCTACTAGAATTTCCAAAAAACAGATTGCTGCTTGAGATAATCGAAACTTATTATCGAAAAGCGTTTTCCAACTAATCCAACTATGTTGTGCATATACCTACTAGAATTTTCACAGTCTGACGGACCTTCTAAATGCACACTTAACTAATTAGTTTTATTTATGCATGCAATGAAAGTGTTGCAAGGATAGTTATTCATTTAGTAAGTAGATGTAGCGCAACTCGCCCAGCAAGTGCAAACGTTAGTATCTATCGCAAGAGAACAAACTGAATAAGTTAAATTAAAGAAAACCAGTATTTATGTAAAGTCGCTTTAAAGAGTTATGAAAGCTGTTTGCTAATAATCGTGTATTTAATCGTTTCAGAACAAGAGCAATTACAATTAGTGTCTGATACAAAATCAAGTGGACGTGGCGCACTTTATTTTG